ATACTGCTATCTAAATCCTTACTGTGTAAGTTGGCTTTGGCTGGAAGGTGGTGCGTTATTTCTTGTGAGATTTCCCCTAGTAATTTGCCCCCAGCAACGCCTTGTGTTCCATCGTCGAAGTACCCTGTCTGACCTAGCAGGTAATCCCTTGTAATTTCCATACCAACCTCGTCAATTTCAGAACCCAGGATCGACAGGTAATCAATTAGTTCTCGGAGTGTTCTAGGGCACAGACTACCAATCATGTAATTTCTAGTTGTCTTATTCAAAGAGTTTCGTAACTGGTATATCTTGCATTTCTCATTCCCTTTCGAACTTGGACTTCGCGAGAGTAACTGCTGGAAGCGCGGTAGATAGGACGATAGGTTCTCGTCCCGAAATTGTCGACATGCATGAAATAGTGCGGCCGCCAATTGTTCCTCATTTCTGTCACGGTAGGTATCATCCATTGCCTGTAACAGCCCTAGCGCATCCCATTCCATGCCATTTGCAAGCATACTCTGAAACTGACCTGTGATCATATCTTTCGCTGTTCCAGTTACTGCATGACTAAATAGTTGAATTAAAAAGTCAGACGGTTGAAAAATATTCCGCTCCTCCACGTCACGTCTGTATATGTACCTAAGAATTCCATGAGTAATTGCCCACTTAGTTCTATCCTTGTGATCGTATGCTTCTGGCCATTTAAGTGGTTCTTCTTCAATGAAGCATTCTCTGCGTTCTGATTGGCCTCCCACATTAGTTCTTGACGGTTGCAGGGGAGTTTTTTTCTCATTCTCCGATCGTTCCTGCATCGTTTTCATCATTTCGTTCATCTGAGATCGTAGAATACCAAGGTCTCTTCTGTGTTCCATTTCTCTAAATCTCATTTCTTCGACCAGTCGCTGCATTTCCGATTGTATTTCTCCGTGTGACACAGATTTCTGGTTCGATAGACCAGTTGCCACAAAGTCCATTCCGATAGTAAAATTGTTCATTTCTGAACCCATTGTTGATTCTTAGAATCCCTGTGCGTTGAAACCAATAATTAAAGATGCCCTAAGTCACAGTTATCTACGACTGCGATGTACTTAATGACGGGCAAAGGATTTGAATGATATAGTTTATATTGTGACGGAAACCAAGTTGGTGATGAATAAATCAATTTAATAAACTATATGAGGAGAAAAGCTAACTCTAGCTACTACTAACAGGTATTTATAGGAGTTAATCCTCCTCGTGAATCTACAGACTAGTGACTTGTCCTCAGGCTCAATACTTCTACCCAGCCACGTATTTCCAGGTGTCACTAAGTTGTAATGACGCTTCAGCCTCCTGAGTAGTAGTGCCGTTTTGTTCAGCTTCATCTCCACCCCCATACAGCCTCATTGTAAGGATTCTTAGTATCAGGCTTAGGTATCCACCTAAGCTCAAACAACGGTCAAACCGTAACAGTTAGCAGGCACCTTTGATCCAGCTGGTATCCTGCTATTGGTTAGTAGATGCCCCAAAAGGGGACATTGTCGAGGTTGCTGTGTCCTCAAACTTCTTCTTCATATCCCAGAGCTCCGAAACCTGTTGCCTCGGCCATCGAGACATCCTTCGCTGCGGCGATGATTGCCTCTTCGGCCTTTTTTGCTGCAGCCCTGGCTCGTGCCACCTTCGCGAACTCCCCTTGTTCGATGTGGCGAGTCCACGTGAGCTGCTCTTTGGTCACCGGTCCGGATTTTTTTGGTCTGACTTGGCAGACCTGAGAATCTGATTGATGAGGTCCTCCACAGTTGCGACAGCATGTGAGGGCCTTGCACTCTGTTTCGGAGTGCATATTTGATCCGCAGTTCCAGCAAGCCGGAGCGCGGGAGCAACCATGGGTGGCGTGGAAGCCCAAACAGCGTTTGCACTGTTCAATTAATCGACGGGGCTTATAGATGGTAGCCATACCCGAATCGTCGAAAAGGCGGAAGCCCGCACGAGGGGCTTCGTCCCGGTGAAAAAGGGCATGCCAGTTTCGATAAGGCGATCCAGGCCGACATGTCCCATGAGGTCGGACCTGGATTGGATACGCGCTGGTCGTAAGGAAGATCTCAGCGGTGACACTTGCAGCATCGGTCGCTACGGGGCCGTACTGTGAAACGATACTTACAGGTACGTTCGGTATCTGTAAGGCGACAAGATCCGAAGATGCTTCGAGTTTGGCGTTTTCACTTGCCAGCTTCGGAGAGACATCTGGGATCTCTTGTCGTATTTTTTCGTTCTTTACTATAATAGCAAAGCCGGTCTTTACTCGATGAATCGAGGTTGTATCATTGTAAGAGAGATTAAGCGTGTCTGCTACCTTACTTTTCACAATGTTGTTTGAAAGATTCCGCCATGGGTGCTCCTTTTCCAGGCGAAGGAACAGTCGCTTATCGACTTTCGCCTTGGGAGCTTCTTTCTTTTGGGCTCTCGCTGCAGGTCGCGGCACAGCCTTTGCTATAGGAGCTGCATTTTGTCGCAGTCCATTTTTGGCCACCGTGGCCCAGGTGCTTTTCACAGGCAGCAGTGGGACGGCGGGAGTTGTATTGCTCCTGGCTTCTGGAGCCCTTGGGGTCGGGTTCGCAGGGCGAGGAGGGAGGACGGGTGGCGTGATGGCCAGGCCCGTGGCCATGTATTGCGCGATGGCTGCGCGTAGGTAGACTCTCATCGAGTCTACGAATTGTCTATTTGACCCGTTGGTCAAAGGGAGGAGGGTGGCTTCGACGCCAGAGATGGCGGCGGAATAGAGGGCCAGATTTGCCGCTGTTTTGGCGGCGCGTCGTTGTTCAGCTTCGACAATTGGTCGAAGCTCTAGGGGACACTCTGCTTTTGTGGCAGCTTTTGGCTGCGACGTTGATTTTGGCGCTGCTTTATCTGCAGCGTTTTCCGACGGTTTTGACGCTGTCGGAGGAGATTTTGACGATTCTCCAGTCCCGTGAGGGACGGAGGGTGGTTGAGGAATTTCCTCAACAGTTTCAACTGACCCGATCATGTCAGTATCGGGTTCAGCGACGGCAGGGAGGGCTTTTTCCTTCCCTTTGATTGAGACCTTGCTCATCTCCGCGCATTTCGGAGACTGGGCAAGGCTAGGTACTTGTTCGAGAGCCCTCGGGTGGACTCTCGTGTTGTCCAACTTGGCGTTGGGACGCTTTTTGCGAACTGGAGGCATGGTGAAAATGCCTGAGCTCGATCACAATTCAGAGATGGATGCGACGAGGTCGAGAAGGGAGGAAAGAGGTAAAAAGGGAATTTTCGAATTTTCGAATTGTGCGTTTTTTGTTCATTAACATGCTAGGTGATTTGATTTGATTAAATTTAACGTCGTGCCTGTCTACAGCTCGTGACCTTAGTCACGTGCTGGACGGCCCAGTCCCTACAGAACTACCCGACGCTCTAGCGCGCCCTACAGCACCTAGAAACTACAAAAGAGTCCGACCTGCTGTCCGCTACTCTGAACATGCTAGGTGAAGTAACTACCGTCGCACTCCTACTGGAGCTTGAGCACGAGTGGGGTCGGGCCGGATCAGGTTAACTACCGTAAAGTACAAATGCCTCGTCCCACCTAAATGACCGGAACCATGCCAAAATGCATCTATGTGTTGAAGCATGACGAGTACAGCAGCCCAGAATTGAAAACAAAACAAAAACTTTCCCGCGAAATCCCGCATTACAAAAGAAAAACTTCAACAATCTCCCTTCCACTGTTCCGCCTCAGCCACCACGTGCCTGAGCCTATGTGGCGGACAGCTGTTCAGACTCTTTTGTAATTTTTAGGTAATGTAGTGCGCGCTAGAACGTCGGGCCGTCCAGTACGTGACAGTAGTCACGTGCTGTAGATAGGGACGACGTTAAGTTCAATCAAAATCAAAATCAAACCTTTGCAGCATGAGGGAGGTGAGTTAAACAGCGCAGCCAAAAGCTCGTGGAAGAGTGGTGGCAGAAGTATCGACCGAAAGGATACAAAGATCTGGACCTATTCATGCGCTGCAAAAGACCACCGGAACTAGCTTTACCAAGATGGGCGTACCATCGTCTTATTGCGGCAAGAACAGACCACAGGGACTACACCGATTAACATCGACCTTTCAACCCCGAACATGAAAACCTGAAATGCGTCTGCGGCCGAGAGAAAAGGCCCTGGCATTTTTCAGAGTGCCGACCTGCTTTGCAACGTTGGAAAAGCTATGAGAAAATGACCCAACCTGGGGCCAGGGAAATGATGGGGGAGAAGAGATGGCAGAAGTTCAATCAATTCTTAACCACAAGCAGATGTTACAGTCTGCCGAAGAATGAACAGGGTGGGAGATGACCACGCTGAGACGGTTTCCAACTCGGGAGGGGATGTGCTTGGAAGATAGGGATGCAGCGCTGGGCACTGTAACTCAGGCATTTATTGTTCCTTTTTATTTCTTTTGTCGCTTCTGGCTTCACTGCCGGTCATATAGGTAGCAATGAGCTCTCAGAGATCATCTATCTGTGTCACGTCGAATAGATGTTAGGCTCTTTCTGTCACGTAAAAGATTCCAAATTCAAATTCAAATCCACTTGGGAAGGAAAGGCCTCAGACCACATTTGACGTGGAGACTAGTCATTGAATGATGGTAGCATGTGTATATATTTCAAGAATTTGAAGAGCTTTCCCTGGATAAGTAATCACGGATGGAGCCTGACTCGGGTTGAAGTATGAGTCGCCTCAACTCGGTAGTTGCACCTGCGAATGAAATCCGAGGCATTAATGTTCTATTGATATACTGAGTAATTCATTCTGTGCTTTACCTCTGATAATGGCTCATAGCTTAAAGATACATATGCAGCTAAAATCCGAGAGAAAACTGTAATTGCATCAACGCAAAAGAAAATGGAAGTTTTAACACTTTTCTACCAGGTTCAGCAATATAATGACAAAGAAATAGAAGTAAATTAGTCAGGTGAATACAAGTCTGTCTGATGTCTCAAAAAATTTCTGAATCGTCAGAACCCTAAGGTGACATTACTGAGCGCTAATCTCATTGATATTTCTGCACAATTCCTCCACTCCCTATAAATAGGCTTTTAGTAGGTGTATTTGCCTCCTGAGCAAATCGTATACTTCGGACCAGATTTCCGCACGATTTCTTACTATCTGAGACTAGGTTCTCGCAGGGGGAATGAAGAGCAGATCCATCACGAAGTGAAAATAGCTGAACAGGTTTATGACCCTCGTGGACCTCCTGCGCTGCAGCTATAATTCTTGAGTCCAAGTCAAGATCAAACCCAAGGCCAGTAGTTGCATCGTTGTGGTAGCCATGATAAGTAACGATTGGCTGTGTGGATATCGTACTATGTTTTTTGGGCGAGCTACTACTTATAGATGAATTGGCTACGAGAGTTTGGTTTGAATCTGACGTTGCCGATACTTCAGTATCCTTGAGAAAGCGAAGGTCATATTGACATAAGCTTGATTCTAGTCCAGCGACAACGATGTGATTAGAATCAACTGATTTAATGTGCGTGATGGAACTAGGATGCTTCATTAAATATCTTGTAGAGCTATCGCGAAGATCGCTTAGAAAAAGCTTTCCTGGACGACCACCTGAGAGAAGTAGATCGGGACATTCTTTGAGGAACTCTACAGCAAAAACATCTTTTTGATGGCATATTTTTGATACTACAGTTGTAGTGTCGCAAAGTCTATATCTGGTAGGATAAACTCTGGATGGCATAGAACTTATACTAAAAACTCCCTGACTTGTGCCGACGGCAAAAAATAAGTTAGAATTGGAAGGCGCAGAAACGGAACAGAAGAAGTCAATTGGTCCATCCAAGGGTTTATCTAAGATGATGTGTTCTTCACTAAATGCTAAATAAAATTAGCGGAGCGGTTTGGGGCCAATGACATTAGAAGAGCTAGAAATTGTAAGAACAATTAGCCATGGGCTTACATCGGGTATTTGATTCTTCCTGAAAATAAGTGATAAATACGTGTATACCACTACTACCTGATCCAAATGAGGTGGATATAACTCTTTCTTGACGTTCGTTAATACTAATCGAGGTAGGTAGTGATGTACTGTGGAAGAAATAAACTGCCTTTCTTTCCCTAATTTCTAGAGATGCATCTGGACCGGCAAAATCTAGTCCATCTCGCCCACAAGTAGAAGATATGTCTCTGGAGCTCATTATAGATGTAGAAACTTCATTGCCAAGGTTTACTTAAATTATTAGCCTTAGAAATTATCGGGAAACGAAGACAGGGGCAATAGTTTGCTCATTCAAAGCCCTCTTATCTAATTGTTGGGGGGTCCGACTACGGAGAAGTGTTAGCACATACCAGCAACAATATTTGAAGGCGTAGTTGTGCTTAAATACGGAACAATGTCAAAGAGACTACACCCCTCATTGATACTCTTAACTCTACCTTTTTCCAAATTAAAGGACCCATATGGTTGAAGTCCGGCAGCTAAGACTCGTGGAGTATCGATGGGTGTAAATCCATATTCCCTTAAGAGAAGGCCACCAGGCAAAGTACTGCGTAAGATGGTTGATGGCTTAATTCTACTCCTCGAATCTCTTTTGAAATTTGACTCCCGTTCCTTTCTGATTTCAAGAACCTTGCGCATTTTTAAAGAGTCCTGAGAGTATGCAGAATTTAGACCTTGAGAAGCCGTTGAAATCTTGAAATACTTTTTTTTTTCGGTATCTATCAGAGAATCAGTAATGGCACCCCACAAGCCCTTTGTGATGTACGTACCATAAAAATATCCAGGTATAGGACCCGGGTTCATTTTGAGGTGGTTTGAATACCTTGCTTCTTTCTTTCCTTCTTTCTTTCTACTTAGGTGGACGGTGTCTCATGAATGAATTAATTCAGCATTAGATCTATGACTTCATGGAAAGATGAGCTGAGCCTGTGAAATTGAAGGCCCTCTTTCTGATTTGAAGGGCTTTTTAATTGGGCACAACTAGGGCCAAGGATATCGAACAAAGCCCGGAAATCCGAACTGGAAGGTTTCTACGAAATTAAGGACAAGACGAAGTTCTTCCTCATTAATAGGCCTGGAAGGATTCTATCAGAACAATCAGCCACAAGAAATTATGTGGATTCATCTTGATTGAAATCCTGATTGTAGGCATTTCCGGTGAGAGGGGACAATTCAAAAAGGAGATCTAACGACCTACTTCAACGACCACAAGTATTACTGAAGAGAGCGAACACAAATTAACTGTCTGACGCGTCCTTTATGAACCTAGGAGTGAAATCTTGCTCAGGAGTCAAATTCAATCCAATATTGTAAAACCAAAGAAGTTTGTTAATGGGGGTGAATCAAGACTCCAGTCTACATTAGTCTTCAACCCTCAAAAAATCGGTTCAGACCAGAGCCTTTTCAAATCTACAGGTGAGAATTATAAAGTCCTTATTGCAATTATTATACCTCTCTTTGACTTAGTCTTTGGCCTTAGTTAGTGTCCAAATATACGCTCTCCACAGAATATCCTCTAGTGGAAACCGATCGTGGCGCACAAACTTAGTGTGGCAGATATTCGGGATGGAAGAGAGATGTGCAACGTTACGATGAGGATATATTGTCTTGGATATGATGGGGGTTCGGTAACCCGGAAGGAGCTCCTTGCATTGAAGAGCCCTGAACCAGAGTGCAGGCGACACATTAAACAACGCCATGGTTGGATGGTGTGGTGGTACATCGTCTTGGCCGGTCTGCCAAGTAGAGTCTGGATAGCTTGGAAACATATCCCACTTGAGACAGTAGATCGCTGGTTCAAATCCAGCAAAACACAACCACTTTTCTCGCGGCGCTGGTATGCATGGATGACGAAGGCATGCTTGGATAACCAAAGGTTTTGAAATTCCCTTTGGTGGGTACTAACGGAGGAGGGTTGACTGTTTGTGTAAGCAAGCATACCTCATAGCGGTATTTGCGAATGAAATCCAGAGTGTGAGTGTCTCTAACGTCAAAAGAGTCATCCCACATGTATACATAGCACCGGTCATGTGTCATAGCTCCATAGCTGAATACACAATAAATGATTTAAAAAAAAATAAAAAAACAGCCCTGAACCCGCCACGGCTTCGTGTCCATGAATACATACGACACCTGGATATAGTTCTGGCCACATGATGCAGTGGTATATACTTGGACGAGTCTCTCAATTGTGAAACTGAAAGCTTAGCTACAAATCTGCCTGGGGATCGGGTGTCATTGATAGATGTGCTCGAAAAGCAAATCAGGCTGATTCCGATGCTCGTTTACGGGAAGAGGCAGAAATACTTGGATGACTAAAGACACTGGCCAATAAGATTTTTTTTCACGAAAATCGGTACCACGTTCCATGACTGTTGTTTTATCATTTTTATTATTGCTACCACCTTAAGCGGCCTGTGATATCCGATTCCCCGAATTTTTTATGTTGCGCTTCGGCACGGCGAGTTGGGGGACTGGAAAGGTGGATTTTACGGCTGGAAAGATTTTACGGCACCACCACCACCAACGGATAGCGGAACAGCCGCAACAATGCTCGTAGAATCTCTCGCGACATCTACAGGCATGAAGCTAGATAAATTAAAAACAATTGCTTACTATCTAAATAAGGTTAGAGACAGACTGGTGATAGCAGGAACTGACGGATCTGCGACATCCATGGTCGAGATAGATGAGGCGCTTAACGCCTTCATAGCCCACGCCAAGACGTTACGATCGAAGCTGACGGTTAACCCAATGGAAGAACGAATGCTAGCCTTAGAAAAGGCAGTAACGAAGAGTCTTGAGGAGCCAGTGCGCAAGACGGCTCCTCAGTCGACACTAGGAATGGGAGGCCGACCAACGTACGCCTCAGTCGTTGCACCTCCAGCAACAAAAGCAGCCGTAAGAATACGAATGGAAGGATCAGAAAAGATGCAGCCAACTGAGCTGCTAAACAAGGCTAAAAAACATATCTAGGCGGCATATACCGTTAGGCAGCTGAGGAGTAATGACACTGAGGTGTTTGTGCAGTCGGTCTCCCAGCGAGACGCTGCCTTGACGATAGCACAACCAAAGGAGTTCCGCATCATAAAGCAGGATTACCCTGTTGAAATTTTGGGAGTCCCACTGGGAACAATTATACACGGAGAAAAGAACGCCAACGACAGCGTGGCAATTTTTAAAATGACTACGGAGACAAAAGCCCGGATTCCTGGGATCCAAATCAACAGGGTGAGATGGCTTAACGACGGCAAAGAGTACCAATGGATGAAGACAAACGGCCATTCTCGATGGTCAGTTATCGCAAGCCTTCCGACCGAGGCTCTTCAAACCGAAGTGGTTAGAAACGGCATTGTGATGGATTCAATGCTCTACACGGCCCAGCTCTGGTCACCCCGAGCACAAGTCAAGCAGTGCTTCAACTGCAGCAAATGGGGGCATACCCAGGCTTCCTGTAATATGGCAAGGAGATGTAGTGAGTGTGCGGGCACTCACCAAACTAGAGACTGCCCGAAGAAATCGGTGCTTTGCTTCGACTGTGGCAAGGCGCATATGTCGTGGCAGAAAAAGTCGTGTCAAAACTTCGCGTTATATAAGGCTAGTGTTCAAAGGGCAAGGTGGGGACTTTTGGAACGAATAGCAGATATGAGAAGGGAGAAAACAAGACCAACGGTAATAAATAAACCTACGGCTAATACAGCAACCGACCAAGGGTTCACACTCGTGTCGCATCAAAAGCCCGAGGGCGGCAAGAGAGGGCCAGGACGCCCGCGCAAACAGCCCCTGGTCCCAGTCCTACAAGAAAATCTATTCGCGCCATCGGGGTCAAGTTCAAGACCACAGTCAACTCTTTTAAGCACGCGAGGGCAGGAAAAGGATGGTGAGGGAAACTTCAATTTTACCTAGATTTGTCTCTGACTGAAGGCCATATGCACTTACTGTAGGTAACGAAGGACTACAGATATAAAACTTAATAGGGAGAGAGGGTTTTTTACCGCAAGGTTTCCTCATGTAAATATATAGATAGTTTCATAGCTGCCTGCATGAGCCCACAGGGCGCCAAATCGGATTAAATGAAATCAAATTCAAAGATTCTGGTGATTAATTTTGGAGGGATTTCTTAATCGACATTTAACTGTACAGTGTAAAATAAATCTTTTTTTTGCATCAGATGTTAATTGTGTTTGCAGTTATCTAGCATTGATACAATATCAGAGAAAGAATGCAAAATAAATTATTCAATTTAAATTGGAGCTCTCATTGTTGGTATTACAGGTCTAGTCTTTCATATATCAACTAAGAATGGGATCGCTACTGCAGATGTGATGGTTGGTTAAGATCTAACTGCCTAGGATATGTGGACGCTGCCGAAGTAATAAACTCATCTTTACCGGAGGGAGAAGGCTGAATACCATTTGGTGGTGTGCTCTACGAACCTGGGAATGAAATTTTCTCCTAGAGCCAAGTTCAGTCAAATTTCGCAATATCGGACAAGTTGGCCCGCGAGGCATTAACTCAAATTACTCCACCACATTTTTTTTTTCGCTCCCAACGAGTTTGACGCCTACCTAAGTCTCGTCAAATCTACAAGTACGACCTAGTACATCCTCATCCCAATGACCACAACACTCTTTGACCTTCTCTGGACTCAGTTGACCACCAAATACACGCCTACGCCGATATTTACACCCGACGGAGGACACAAAGCGTGGCGCACAAATCTAGGAGACAGTTCTTTGGGATGGACGTGAGAGGGATTAGGATAAGTTGACAAGATGATGCGGAGGAAGGATATAACTTCGAAGGGCATGAGATTCCGAATTTTGGCAAGGAGTTTTGCGAATTGGGCTTCGTACGCGCCAAGACTTCGCTTGTGAGAGTGCAGCTGACACTATAAAAATAAGCAAACGATGGAAGGTGTTGTGGTCTGCCTCCAGGTGGTGTTCTCTGGTGTAGTTTGAGTAGCCTGGGCACCTAATCCACTCGGGAAGGAAACATCTTAGATCACATATCGCACGGAGAAAAGTTGATGGATGACGGAGGCATGTCTGGATAACTCAGGGTTTTTGAGACGTTCCCCTGGGTGGGTATTCACGGATGAGGGTTGACTTGGGGTGAAGAAAAAGCCGCCATAACTTCGCAGTAGTACTTGCAAATGAAATCTGAGGCATAATTTGCTTTTCTTGTAAATTGGGTCATCTTTTCTGTACTTTTCTTTGATATTGTTTTGTTTATTTTGTCCTAAGCTAAAGCTATGTTTTCCACATTGGGTCAAGGACAGGCGGAGCCGGCAGGGTTCCCTGTAATCTTTCCTACAGCCTAACTCGTTCCAACCTCGTGAATCGTTACCAAAAGTGCAGCTGATTTAGCCGAAACGAAAAATCAAGAAAATCAAAACAACTCCAAAAGAACAGAAGATTCCTCCATAATAGACCCAGTCAATATGCTCTTCACACATTCCGTCGTCCATCACACCTTCCAAATGACAAATTTACTTAATCTCCGCTGAGAGCAGTAGATGAGTTAGCAGGCACCTTTGATCCAGCCGGTATCCTGCTAATTGTTAGTAGATGCCCCAGAAGTGGACATCTTCGAGGTTGCTGTGTCCTCAAACTTCTTCTTCAGGTCCCAGCACTCCGAAACCTGTTGTTTGTTTGTTTGTTCATTAACGTGCTAGGTGAAGTAACTACCGTCGCACTCCTACTGGAGCTTGAGCACGAGTGGGGTCGGGCCGGATCAGGTTAACTACCGTAAAGTACAAGTGCCTCGTCCCACCTCAATGACCGGAACCATGCCGAAACGCATCTATGTGTTGAAGCATGACGAGTACAGCAGCCCAGAGTTGAAAACAAAACAAAAGAAAACTTCCACGCAAAGTCCTGCATTACAAAAGAAAAAACTTTGACAATCTCCCTTCCATCGTTCCGCCTCGGCCACCACGCGCCCGAGCCTCGATTCCTATCCCTACTTCCATGCCAGATCACCTAGGCTTTCGTTCATCCCCTCCGAGTCACAGGTATCCCTGCCATCCCCCGGCTAGCCTCCGCGTATATTCCGCTCTCCTGGACATAGTCCCTGAACAGTTGCCACCCGCTTGATCCGAGCATTGTTCCTATCGCTGGCGCCCTTCGCCTTCCGCTTTTCAGCCGCCATGTTGCCATGTTGCCAGTGCTTTTCGACACTGAACAAGGTGACCGATTGATTTTTCTCTCCCACACTCGCAGTGAAGTGTAGCGTCAGTGTGGTTGAAGCGGCGATGATAAGCCGCGAAGTCCCCATGTCCGGTTCGAGCGGCTATTAAGCGAGCGTAGACTGCCCTTGGTAGTGCTAGTTCTGGCGGTTTCTTGCGTCCGAAACCTGTTGCCTCGGCCATTGCGGTATCCTTCGCCGCGGCGACAATCGCCTCTTCGACCTTTTTGGCTGCGGCCCTAGCTCGAGCCGCCTCCGCGAACTTCCCTTGCTCGAGGTGGCGTATCCACGCGAGCTGCTCTTTTGTCACCGGTCCAGACTTTCTGGGTCTGACTTGGCAGGCCCGAGAATCCGATCGGTGGGGTCCCCCACTGTTACGACACTTTGTGAGGGCCCTGCACTCGGCTTCCGAGTGCATAGTTGATCCACAGTTCCAGCAGGCTGGAGCGCGGGAGCAACCACGAGTGGCGTGGAAGCCCAAACAGCGTTTGCACTGTTCAATTTGTGGTCGTGGCTTGTGAATGGTAGCCATACCAGCCTCTTCGAGAATTCGGAAGCCCGCACGAGGGGCGGAGTCCCGAGCAAAAAGTGCTTGCCAATCTTTGTACGGCGCCCCAGGACGACATGTCCCCTGCGGTCGAACCTGGATTGCCACCTTTCCGGTTTGAAAGTATATCTCGGCTCTGGCCGAGTCAGAATCGACCGTTCTAATACCGTCGGGTGTATTTATGGTCGCGGGAACATTCGGAATTGAAATACGACAAGGTTGGAGGCTTCCTCGATTTTGGCATTGAAGTCCGACAACTTCGGTGAGGCATCTAAGAGGTCTTTCCTTTCATTGTCATCCGCTGTCAGAATCGCAAATCCGGTTCTGACACGGTGTATAGAGCTTTTTTCACTCAAGGTGTACAGTAGCCTACCACATAATTGGTGCCTTATGCCGTCAGGCGAAAGCTGGCGCCATGGGTGATCGCTCTCTAAGCGAAGGAACAGTCGTTTGCCGACTTTCGCCTTGAAGGTTTCTTTTTGTTGGTATTTTGCCGCAGGTTGCGGCACAGCCCTTACAGTTGGGACTGCTTTCTGTCGCAGTCCGTTTCTGGCCACCGTGGCCCAGGTGCTTTTCATAGGCAGAGCTGGGACGGCGGGAATAGGTGTGCTCCTGACGTCGGGAGCCCTCGGGATTGGGTTCGCAGGGCGAGGAGGGAGGACGGGTGGCGTGATGGCCAGGCCCGTGGCCATGTATTGCGCAATGGCGGCGCGTAAGTAGACTCTCATCGAGTCTAAAATTGTCTGTTTGACCTGTTGGTCAAAGGAAGAAGGGTGGCTTCGACGCCAGAGATGGCGGCGGAGCAGAGGGCCAGATTTGCTGCAGTTTCGGCGGCGCAACGTTGCTCGGCTTCGACAATTGGTCGCAGCTCGAGGGGACACTCTGCTTTCGTAGCAGCTTGTGGCTGCGACGTTGGTTTTGGCGCTGCTTTATCTGCAGCGTTTTCCGACGGTTTTGGCGCGGTCGGGGTAGTTTTTGACGATTCTCCAGTCCCGTGAGGGACGGAGGGTGGTTGAGGAATTTCCTCAACAGTTTCAACTGACCCGATCATGTCAGTATCGGGTTCAGCGACGGCAGGGAGGGCTTTTTCCTTCCCTTTGATTGAGACCTTGCTCATCTCCGCGCATTTCGGAGACTGGGCAAGGCTAGGTACTTGTTCGAGAGCCCTCGGCTGGACTCTCGTGTTGTCCAACTTGGCGTTGGGACGCTTTTTTCGAACAGGTGGCATGGTGAAAATGCCAGTGACTCGATCACAATTATTTGATAGAATGCGACGAGCGCGAGAGGGGGGGAGAGGGGGAAAAGGTGAAGATTCGAAATTTCAAATTTCAAAGAATTGTCTTTGATATTGTGTCATAGCTAGATAGCTGCATACGCAATTAAAATCTGATGCAAAAAAAAAGTCACAATGATTCACACAAGATAACCTAGGGCGCGGGCGCAACTGATTTAATGACAGCGACCGTAACTCGAATCTAATCTCTTCATATGACAGTTTCACAGAACGGAAAAATAATTTAATTACATTGGCAGGTGATCAAGATATAATGCGGAAATTGAATTAAAATATAGTTCAAGACTACAAATTTAGTATCATTGTACACAAGTTCTTATCGTCGTGGAAGCTATTTAATTTAATCCATAATTAATCAATACTGTAACAAAAACAAATTTACCTTGTTCAGTAAACTTAAGCTCTCCTACCATGCGAATTTCCCCTAATTGCCCCTTCTTTATCCTTTTCTCCCTTTTTACATGAGCCGCTGCCATATAAGAGTGCTGACCTGTTGGACTCGGTGACTCGGGTATCATGAACACTCCGATTTTGCGGATAAGAGTTTGGAGTGAATTCTGACCTTTAAAATGTCACAAAATTATCCTGACTTTTCACGTTGCGTCGATACGCGTTGAAGAGAGACAACCATGATGTGTCAATTAACTATACAAATTGAGGGAAAAGTTAGAGTAGCTTACCGAAGTCTTCCAGAGAGCTTTGTTTTGGATTCTTCTTGATTGATTTACCGTGCATGAGATTGTCAAAGCCTGTGCTATCTTGGAGAAGATAATAGAACCCGCCCCATGATACAAAAGACGCCAAAAGAGGAAATCTAGATTCGAACGACAGCAATAATCGAAGTCTGACCACCGAAAAACCGGCCTAACACTGTGAAAAGAGTGGCCACAATCTCAACCTTATCGTTGTAATCGTATTGATAGAAAGCCACCACTGGATTTCAGAAATCTTGTTAAACTGTAATGAGCTACAATATCAGAGTTTGTATACATCACGATAATTCCAAGCCGTAAACTATTCTGAGACACATTTTTCCCGAAACCAACTCTAGTGGGATCTGGTTCGTTCATGTGTCAATTTGCTATCAATTAGGAATTTGATCTACTCAAGGTCTCGAAGCTCTGAGACATGCGGAATCGTGTCAAAAGCTGCTTAGGAAAGTACTGACATTTTCTGATGAACATCACCATCTCAGAGAGTATTTAGATTGTCCATTTCTCCAATATTGCACTGCTGCTATCATGCCCTTTGTTATGGAGGCCTAAGACATAAATAAGATCGAAGCGCAGACACCTCAGCCTTTGGCTCATACTCCTGTTTATGTGTAGGCAAATTATCATAGCTATTTCATCAGTAGTGATCCATCATAGACCCACTTTATGGTGTCATTTGCTAGAGTATATTTACATACAGTGCCGGTACTTCCATTTTTCATTACCAACAGGCAGCAGCTGTGGAAGATTGGACTTCCTCTCACATATTAGCTTTTGATTATAGTTTTAGTCTACCCCGGTAGGTCATGAAGTGAATTTATCTTCGAAAGGTCTCTCAGAGGATTCGAAATTGTTAAGTGTATTAGTTGTTGTAAAATAAAAATTAGGCAGGTTTGAACCTATCTGCAATTCATATAAGGGATGTGAATGACTGAAAGCGATGATTTATACCTTCTTAAAGAATGTGCAGGTCGGATCTTCGGTCGAAAACTTGCTCGCATCGCTCTTCTTATTCTCTATTTCAACGAAAACTCTCAAATTTACCCTTTTTTAAGTCTAAATCCTGGCTCTGAGGGTTATCTTACACTCAAGTTCGTAAACACCTCTTTCAGGCGTTCAGTCTTTGTTCTCCATATAGAACAGCTAATTGTTCTTTTTGTAGAGTCTCGGTATCTAAGGGCACGTCAAACTTTAGATTATTCGACGTTGACTGGTAGTTCCGTCACGTGATTGTATCTGGAGTTGTGCAAGTGCACAACTTCAAATCTACCCATGGTCACATTTGGATCCGTTCCATACTTTTATCTCCCATCATAAACCAAGCCAATCATTGAAATACACACATTCACTCGGTCCTACTGGTCCATTTTCCTCACACAACTCGAAGACTGGACATCTACCACATGGAACCTCAGACAACACACCACCTCGTTGATCTTCGCCAATTATAGTTTGCTTTAGAGATCGATATCCCCATCTGGTACCGCACATAACCTTTTCAATCTTATTGTCGAAGATTAATACATCCAATAGCTGTTGCATTTCTGATGGAGTCAGAGTTTGATTAAAAACAGAAGATTCTTCGATCTTAAGTGTTAATTCGTCTAGGGTTAAATATTTTTCGTAGGTGGCTGGCATTGGAATAAACTGAACTGGTGGATCTGCTTGCAATTCTAATTGACTATCTCGAAGAGCTTTTATTTCTTCTGGTCTTAACCCTTTTAGTTTTTTTCTAGGTACTTTAGCACCTCTTTTAACACTCTGCCAAGACCTAGCATGTATGTGTCTTTGCAATAACATTAACGCTGTGTTGATAAAAACATCATCTAATTCCCCGTCCGTGAACCAAGGTCCCCCGGTCGCTCGATCGCTCGGTCGTAAAGATGCTTTGATGTACATTTTTCGCGCAGGGTGTTCAACTGACTTCATTTCGCATATATAGCCTTTCACAGTGAGACTTTTGATGCATGACGCAAAAACTGCGTCGTGAAGGTTGGTACATGACTTAATCGTTTTGGACCAGATTCCTTCTTGGCCTGATTCATCAATCAAGGCATAGACCAGCTCTTGCTCTGTGGTGAGAGCTCGATACCTAGAAGATTATTGTTAGCGATTGTTTGAATAGATGTGAAATGCCTTAAGAGAGAATTTCTGCCGAACTTTTTAGCATCTTCCTGACTTCGTATCCTCCATCCCATGCCTTCTGAGTCGTGAACCACTTTTATTAGCTTTTCATCTAACAGTTTTTGAATTACCAAGAGAAGCGTTTGTATATCATTATTCAAAGGAATATTTTCCATGTCCATAAAGTCATGCTGATGAAAGACATATCTAGGATCTTCTTCCTGTATAGGAAGACAAGCTGTATAAAGCTGGTCGCGTAGAGAGCTTATTTGAGCATCAGTGGGCGATTGTACCATTGCCATTTCTACGTAGAAATTGGATTGCGGTCTGAAGGTATGAAGAAGAATTATGATATTAAGGCTTTAATCAAAGGACCACGGCAACCTCAACAGCAATATGGATTTTATTGTGATTATGAGCCAAACTAAAATATATTTGTCTAATGGATTTTTCTGGATAAGGTGAGTGTACTGCGATCATGTGTTAAGGGTGGGACAGGAACTAGACCTAGGCTGTAAGTCAGCTTAGGTGTGCGAAAATTTACACGAAATAGTAAATTGAGCGGGGGTAAATTGAAATGAAGATTAGTGGGGATGTAGGGGGATTTATGATCAGATAGATATACCTAATGATAGCCGGTTGGTGTGTACGGCCTTGGATTTGTAAATCTCATGTACACTGTTGTGTAACTGTACAACCAATTTGTCCCCCACTAGTCCCTTTAGCCGAATGGGGTCTTTAGATTGGCGTCAAGCCTAATGAGGGAAAGGAAGATGTACAAAAGCCTAACATCCATAGGCGGTGTACACTACAAAGGAGAAATTGAAATAATGTAACAAAGCTAAGCTGTTAAGTTTCACAATATCGATCATATTGGCTCACGAGGGAATGGCTCACTTGTCCTATTCCAACAACATGTGAATACCAACAAGGCTAAGTCCGGACATAGCCTACTCGAGTAAATAAGTATGACCTAAAACGTTCACATTGCACCCATTCCCCCTTTTGTCAGTTCAGCTTCTAGCCTCATATAGTCTCCACTTTCAAATCCACTATAATACAACTACCCGCTGGATGAGACAAATTATGGAGCACAAATTCAAGAGACAGATTTTTAGGATCAACATGATAGAGATCTGAACAAGTGAACAAGATGATGCCAACGTGGGATACAAATCTAGCAAGTGATGAGATTTTGAATCTTCGCAAGGAGTTTTACAAATTGAGCTTTGTGCGCCATACGACTTCGATTGCGAGAGTGAAGTTGATACTACTAAAACTGCCATGCTCGGATGGTTAGGTGGTATGACATGTTAGCCTATCTTATGTGTAGATTCCGAATAGCCTTAACACATATCCCACTTAAGAAAGGAGATGTCTGGTTCGGAGGGCAAGACTGAACACCTGTACGTGGTGTCCTCTACGAACCTGGGAGTGAAATTTTCTCCTAGAGCCAAGTTCAGTCAAATTTTGCAATACCAAACAAGTTGGCCCACGAGGCAATGATTCGAACAACTCCACTACATCAAATTTTCATTCCAAAAAAGATCGGATCCTACCTAAGCCTCATCAAGTCTACAAGTACGACCTAGTACATCCTCATCCCAATGACCACAACACTCTTTGACCTTCTCTGGACTCAGTTGACCACCAAATACACGCCTACGCCGATATTTACACCCGACGGAGGACACAAAGCGTGGCGCACAAATCTAGGAGACAGTTCTTTGGGATGGACGTGAGAGGGATTAGGATAAGTTGACAAGATGATGCGGAGGAAGGATATAACTTCGAAGGGCATGAGATTCCGAATTTTGGCAAGGAGTTTTGCGAATTGGGCTTCGTACGCGCCAAGACTTCGCTTGTGAGAGTGCAGGCGAAGCTATAAACACCGCCATGGTTGGATGGTATGTTGTACATCTTTTTTTTTGCATCGGATTTTAATTGCGTATTCACCTATGTAGCTATGTCACTAAATTGGAGAAAAATTACATAAAAGATGATTCAATTTACAAGAAAAGCAAATTATGCCTCAGATTTCATTTGCAAGTACTACTGCGAAGTTATGGCGGCTTTTTCTTCACCCCAAGTCAACCCTCATCCGTGAATACCCACCCAGGGGAACGTCTCAAAAACCCTGAGTTATCCAGACATGCCTCCGTCATCCATCAACTTTTCTCCGTGCGATATGTGATCTAAGATGTTTCCTTCCCGAGTGGATTAGGTGCCCAGGCTACTCAAACTACACCAGAGAACACCACCTGGAGGCAGACCACAACACCTTCCATCGTTTGCTTATTTTTATAGTGTCAGCTGCACTCTCACAAGCGAAGTCTTGGCGCGTACGAAGCCCAATTCGCAAAACTCCTTGCCAAAATTCGGAATCTCATGCCCTTCGAAGTTATATCCTTCCTCCGCATCATCTTGTCAACTTATCCTAATCCCTCTCACGTCCATCCCAAAGAACTGTCTTCTAGATTTGTGCGCCACGCGTTGCTTCCTCCATCGGGTGTAAACATCGGCGTGGGCGTGTATTTGATGGTCAACTAAAGCCAGAGAAGGTCAAAGAGTGTTGTGGTCATTGGGATGAGGATGTACTAGGTCGTACTTGTAGACTTGATGAGGCTTAGGTAGGATCCGATCTTTTTTGGAATGAAAATTTGATGTAGTGGAGTTGTTCGAATCATTGCCTCGTGGGCCAACTTGTTTGGTATTGCAAAATTTGACTGAACTTGGCTATAGGAGAATATTTCACTCCCAGGTTCGTAGAGGACACCACGTACAGGTGTTCAGTCTTGCCCTCCTTTTGATAACCTTAAGAGACTGTAAAGAGATCAAATCAATCATGATCAGTGTATATAGTCCTAGAATTCCGGGAGTGAGTGAGTGAGTGTTTATTGTCCTAAAAAGTCTATAACTATGTAAGGACATGTAGGTCCTTTCTGCCTACAGGCCGGAAGTATCTATGCCTCGGGTAGTGTACTCCCTCCCTTGCCTTCCTCACGACTTCTTTCCAGCAGTAATACCCCTACAGGTCTTCATTCGAGTACACACTAAGAGGAGCCGCTACCCCGTCATTATCTCCCCTCTCCAGCCAACGAAACGATGGCCATTTGCGGGTGTGTAGCTGCAGGGATAAGTCTCAAAAACAACAGGGTGCGGTGCTCTCCTATGACGAAGAGGCCGGCCAGCCAGGCGCAGCAGACCTGTGTATATCTAAGAGCGTCTCTGAACCTTCCTAGCCTCCTCCTTACCCCTCCCCTGATTCATGCCGCAGGACAAATCGTAGGTCGTGAAAGGATGTCAGAAAAGTCTTAGTCGAGAGTGACAGTCGTGAAGGAGCCTAGCCTAGCATCCAAAAGTCGTTACGGACGTGGGGTCGTCGGGTAACTCATATATTTCAGATGCCCTCCTGGCTAGTAGATTCGGAAGTTAAGATGAGTAGGGATGATAAATTTGACAAGTCGAAATCTGCTTTTCTTGAGGGCGGAAGGGTCTTTTACTTTGCTTTCGTGGGCTTTTTGTTCGCCCGCCGGTGAGTAGCACATGTTGTAATATAACGAGAGCTTCTCTGACTACCGTTGTATCGTTTGGTACCGCATTATCTTTTCTCATTCCCAGCATTATTATCGTCGTCTTGGTCATCTTATGTGTTATCGGAAGCGTATCCTTGACGGAGGGGGAGATAACTCAGCTCAAAGTTGATAAGGTGTTTCTCAATCTCAGCTCTGCAGACTCTACACAGAGAGCTGGAGGTTCGTAGGGGACATCACTGACAGGTGGTGAGAATAGTCCCCCTAGGATTCCGTGAGAAATAGGAGTCAAGTTGTTTTGACTGAGTTATCTGTTACTTAAACTACATACACTTCGCATTTACAGGTCAGGCACCCAGTTACCCGACATGATGATCCCTCACTCACTGAGGTTGCAGAGCGCATTGAAATAAGTAACTACCGAAGTAAAACCAAGTACAGAATTCGTAGTCACATGTGTATGAACAACGTGGCCTACTTGATAGCCCCAATTATTCTAAATTCTAACAGGATGTGATCTTTCGGCAGTTTTCCCATTTACTTGGAAGCAGGTTGGTTTTACCGGAAAAGACCTTACCAACTAACCACCCCCTCCACAGTTCAAGCACAGCCTTAGTTGGCGACGTCACGTCTTTTCTTCAGTGGCTAAAGAGCCTCGTGGTCGCATATAGGCGGCTGAAAGATCCATTGGGTCTCCGGCTGGATTAAATCTTGAGAGGTGCGGATTGCATAGAGAAGCATGAAGTAGAGGCTGGTGTTGTTTGAAGCCCGACAAGGCATTAAGGTAAGACCTCTGATCGTTTTCGCATGTCCTGGAGGTATGCAACTACTTCGATGAAATCGATCTTTCTTAATCCTCTATCATGCACAAACGCCTCTTGAAGATGCAAACCTGGATTGTGAAAGATCCGGTCGCGAAGATAAATAGAATCCGGGTAGGAGTTTGCAATCGCTATGTCACGTCGGATGTCACAAATCCTTACTGAGAAAGTTTTGTCTTTTTGAGGGTTGCTATTTATTTTGATTAGGTCCTGATCAACGATTTTTAGCCTGGTTGTGCTGTGTTGCAGGCTACTGTACCAATTATCATCGGGTCATGATTAGGGTTGTGATTAGTTTGGGTTGTTAGATTGATACCTGTTATGGTTATGAGGTTATGTACGAGGTCTTGGAGTCTGGAGCTTAATAGTCTGCGGAGCTGAGGGTAGAGCAAGGTGTGGAGATGAAATTAATTAGAATCTACATGTACATATGTGTATATAAGAGGGATGAAGCGGCCCTATCTATCTCTACAAAGGAAGTGTTCCTAATACCCTACGCACGAGCCTCGGCTAGGAGGGCAAGACTGAACACCTGTACGCGGTGTCCGCTACGAACCTGGGAGTGAAACATTCTCCTAGAGCCAAGTTCAGTCAAATTTTGCAATACCGAACAAGTTGGGCCACGAGGCAATGATTCAAAATACTCCACCATATCAATCTTTCACTCCCAACGAAATCGATTCCTACCTAAGCCTCATCAAGTTTACAAGTACGACCTAGTACATCCTCATTCCAATGATCACACCTCTCGTCGACTTTCTCTGGCCTCAGCCGGTCACCAGATACACGCCCACGCCGATATTTACATCCGATGGAGGAAGCAAAGCGTGGCGCACAAATCTGGAAGACAATTCCTTGGGATGGATGTGAGAGGGATCAGGACAAGTTGATAGGATGATGCAGAGGATGGATACAGTCTCGACGGGCCTGGAATTTTGAATTTTGGCA